CATTGAATTATTTTCATTGCATATACAAATAAGTATCTAGAATGTGTGATTCACTATTGAAATCGATGATAAGCCTGAGCTGAGCATAATCGACTACACAGTTAGCAAGTACATCCAAAGTAACTCCTTACCCTTAACTTCGAGATGCCCATTTGAAGGTTGCATAATGTTACCTAACTTCTGCCTTGGTACAAAAGGTATCCTCTATCACTGATTACTTAGGGTCTAGTAAATCCAGCTACAGCCAGAGAACCGTACTTCAAACACGATACCTTCATGAAAGTAAACTGTCACTTGATGAAAAGGTAATTCCTGCCTTTACCTTTTTGCAGCTCTCTTATCATACAGAAAAAGGTTTTTCCTCTGGATTGCCACTGGACATATTCACCAGATTTTTATAGCTCTAGAAAGAGGAAGAGGTACATTGCAGTTACAGCCCCACTGCAGCCATGTCACATCAGTCCATCTACCTATGCCAATGGTGCCTCTCAATTCAAGATAACACTGTCAAGCAAACATTTCTTGTTAAGGTAGTTTAGTTTTGAAGCTGGAATAAACACAAACATCACATGCAAGTATACAGAGGGTTTTCTTGTGTCCTGAGCTTCCTCAAGAATGTGATCTGCCACAATACAATTTTGCTGAGCAATCTTGTTTAACTTCCCTCCTTTTCCATTCATAATATTCAACAGTTTTCACTAAAGATCACACAGCTTGCTTGCCTCTGCTTTATTTTTAAAGAATCAAAATCTTAAATTGTAGAAAACCTATCAATTCTGAGCCAAAGTTGGTTCAGAAGAACAAACTCAGTATCCTTTCTTCCTGCCTTGCTTGTATCCAATTTGATCTTAAGCAAGGCTGCTTTGTATATGCTTTGTGATCTGCACAAAGGGTAAATGCCTCCAAAATCTCTCTTGCTCTGTTTCACAAGGACAGCTAGCATGGGAGAAAGGATTGAATATTTTACTACCACTGGGTCAGACACATCTCTCAACCTACCTGGAACATCACCACCTTACCTCATCTTTCCAATTCACTGACTATTTTTCCCTTGCTATCATTTATTTATACACTCATCTTTCTTTACTGTAATGTACCACAGTGGAGTAACACACCAACAGGGACATTTCCTTCTACCTTTTCCACCTTTTGTATGTTATTTACAGCTCCCTCCCTCCAGACTTACAAAATTATGTGTTTTTCTGGTTTTGGGGGGTTTTTTGGTTGGCTTTTTTGTTTTGGTTTGGTTTGGTTGGGGTTTTCTTCCCCTTTTTCTTCTCTCTAAATACTGATTTCTAAAAGGCAGTGAATTGATGACCTTCAATAACTTTAACAGGTAATAAATATTTTACCTAGAAGGAGAACATGGAAACAGCATGTCTCAGTTGACGACTAATTTTCTTTAGTATTATTTTGCTGCTGCAAAAAGCAGAAAAAATGTTTCCATTACACAGTGGAAACCCTGAGCTGATGAAAGCTTTTTCAGCTATCATGCTGCATGCTTTTTTCTACCTGCTGCAGGGAAAGCTGCAAAGAACAAAAGTGCTCACAAATAAAAGGTTTGAAATACAGTATTATCCATATCCTTTCTTGTCTGCACTGTGACTGCAGAATCACATACTAATGGGATAACCTGGTCTGGAGGTGACCATAGGAGGTCCCTGTCCATCCTCCCACTCAAAGCAGGCCAGTTCTGAGGTCAGACCTGGCTCCTCAGAGCTTGAACCAATTGGGTCTTGAAAACCTCCAAGAATTATGATGGCACAATCTCACTGGGCAAACTGTACTGCTGCCTGAGTGTTCTCTTGGGGAATAGGTTTTCCCTGCATTCTGTCAAACTCTTTCTTGTTTCAGTTTGTTGTCTCCTGTCACCTTACTCCCTTGCAACACTGAAAAAAGCCTGGCTTCATATTCTCAATAACCTCATAGGATGGAGTTGGATGGTGTAAGGTCCCTGAAATCTTCCCTACCCCAGGCTAACCAAGTCCCACTCCCACGGCCAGCCTCTCCTGTCAGGTCAAATTCTTCATCCCCAACCACCCAGACACAGTATCTGGATGTGACCTAACAAGTGCTGAGCAAAACAGACTAATTTGATCTCCTGGCCATTCCCATGTTTGTACCACCCAGGATGCTGGTCCCAGGGCCTTCACGACAGAGGCAGTAGTGTCCTAACTCCTGCAACAAGGGAGGTATCTGGTATGGAAAAGAAATGTGCATCTGCGCCACATTTTTCCCCTGAACAGGAAACTTTCTTCATATTGATATCTTGGCAGACTGACAGTTTCCACCTGAGAAGTATTTGGTGGCTTTTTTTACACCCTTAAAAGCAGCGTGAACACCACACTGCAGAGAAGATCCATGGTGCTACTAATAAATGGTGAATATAGGAAATATAACCAAAATAAAATAAATGTCCTTATGAGTTGGACACCACTAGCCCAACTTAACTATATTGAATTTCCTTTTGTCTCCCTTTCAGCAAATGTTCCTAAAATGTTTATAGTTTGTTAATTTACATGACACTGTATAGTTTTGCATTTTACCAGATGTTTTCAACTCACCTTGCACTCCATCTGCCTTTGGAGATCTGGCTTCCTTAAAACTGCATGCTTTAATTTTACAAATCTTATTTTTGCAACATACAATGACCTAATCTCAAAAAAATTTTACTAAGAGTGGTATATTAACATAGGAACTTCTTCACTCACCACAGTCCTGCAAACAATTAACAAGTGAAGTAATTTTCACCAATTATTGCTGGTACAGCAATAGCTTGGCAGATGACGTCTTCCTTTTGTCAGCACTGATGGAGAGCTGAAACATCAGGAAAATTTCAGCCCTTAATTCTGACTAGTGTCCTTCTAAAGAAAGGAATATATCATAACCTATTTTTCTGTTCTGTACCATCCTTAAATTTTAACGTTTAAAGAGGTCAACATAACCACTTAAGAAAAATAATTCTTAAAAAAGGCCCAATCAAGAACAAAAAGGGACTGTTAAATCCTGTCCCCAATTGACCCCCTCTGAGATTTAGCTGAGACATTTGATCACATTTCGAAAAGAGAGATTGCTGACTACCTTATCAAGCTGTTGTGAGTACTTAGTTATATAAGCTGCTGTGCAGGTCACAATGAGCGTGGGGAAGTGATAAAAAGATAAAAAGAACATAAAAAGTTACTTAGAACTACCAGGAATAACCTGTCATAGGCTAGCATTTCTTAAAAATATCTGAAATTATGCAAAGAGGTTAATAGTCCAAACCAGGACTTTATTAATATACCAATTATGGAAACATCTATTATAAAACTAGAAAAATGTAAAATATTCCATACTGAATTGCTTTAACTACTCCATATTGAATAATATTTGGGGATGTTGCTGCATCATTAAAGACTGAAGTATTAATTCAAATTCACATCTGTCCTGGGTTCAGCAGTAGCAGTCATTTTTTCTCCTTCTTGGTAGCTGGTGCAGTGCTGTGTTTTTGACTTTCGGCCTGGGAATGGTGCTGATAGCACCAATGTTTTTAGTTACTGCTGGGATGTTTGGTCTGGCCAAGGACTTTGTAAGCCTCAGGCTTTGCCAGGGAGGAGGGGAAGCTGGGAGGAAGCAGAGACAGGACACCTGACCCAAACTAGCCAAAGAGGTATTCCATACCACAGCATGGTAATCAGTCGGTGGGTGGTGAGGTGTTGTATACCCTTGCTTTGTTATTTCTCCTATCATTATTATTATTGGTAGTAGCAGTAGTGATTTGTGTTATACCTTAGTTACTGTTCTTAATCTCAACCTGTGGGAGTTGCATTCTTTTCAATTCTCCTCTCCGTACCTCCGGGAAGAGGAAGAGGGAAAGAAGGGGGGAAGTGAGTGAACGAGCTGCCTGATTGGTTTTAAACCACAACATCTAACTAGGTGATCTCTGTTCACCATTTAACTACACTAAGCATACCACTTTGCTTTTGCTATAAAACAGTTAATGACAAGACCAATAAATGCATCACTGAAGACCCAAAGCTCATAAAAACTAACAAACATTAAAACTATTTCACATTACAACCATAGAGCACACTTGAGACACTTGAAAATGTCTAATGTGCATTTTTGCATCTTAAATACAAGCACATAGTCTTGTTTCAGTTTCTGACCCTTGTTTTTAAAGTGTGAAAATGGTATCATGCCTTTACGTTGGGTGATGGTGCCACACTGCCCTAACTTCACGGTTCAGTCCTGCCTGGGGGTCCAGCTTAATCTCATGGCCTACAAACGGCAAGCATGTCCCTCTCTTTGGAATGGTGTCTTGACAACAAGACCAGTCAAGAACCGTGGAGTCTAGAGGACACCTTCACGGAGAAAAGCACAGCAAAGGCCAGACAGATGTCATGCATTCGGCTCAATGTGTCCTTAGGCTGGTGGACCTGCTCTTGCCCACAAACGATGAGACGCAAGCGGCTGCTCTGTGTCAGCCAGACCCAGAACATCGCCGGCGCCATCCCGCCTGCCTTTCTCGTCACGGAGTAGCCCGCACCACCTCACACTAACCCGCTAGCTCTAGGGCAGGCACCGGGGCTGCGGAAGGCTCAGCCCTCAGGCGCTGAGTGCAAAATACGAGATCGCACCGATCGGCCTCAAGGAACGCAGCTCCCTGACTCGCTCTCGCAAACCAACACCGCCGGCGGCTGGCGCCGCTCCAGGGCCGTGGCGCCGGCTCGGAGCAGGGGGCCACTGCTGGCTTGAGAGCTTAGCCTAGCTGTAGGCTGTTAATAGGGGGAGGCCATGACGCTGGAGAGCGACAGCCGCTGGCTGAGGGAAGGGAGGGCGGCCGTGAGGAGCCCCGCCGCTCTCGGTGCCGCATCGTCCTGGGCTCGAGACCAGAAGTGCAATGAGGACAGCAGGAGCGCGGCACTGGCGCTGACAGGCGGCGGGGAGCCGAGGCCCGAGCAGCCGCAGCAGAGGTGCGAAGAAGGCGGGGACAGAAGACAGTAGACCCCCGCCAGCGATGTACCCCGGCAGAGAGGGAAAGAGGGAGGGAGCTGGGAGGCCCGGTCACGACAGCTCCATCCACGCTCCCCCTGCCCAGCCCCAGCCATGAATATGTAACTCCCCTCTATTTCCCGAGCACCATTGCGGAGGTTGCCGCTCGCCATATTGTGTTGCTGGGTCTGCGGCTCACCGCTGGCGGGAGAGGGCGGTGGAAGCGAGCCGTGTAGTGCGACGTCGGCGGCCTGAGGCGGGAGCCCGGCGGGCGGTGAGCTCAGGGTGACGGGCGAGGACTGGGCCGGGCCGGCTGCGGTTGCCACTGCCGGGTCTCTCCCTCTAGTGGGGCAGGGAAAGGTGCGGAGCCGCCCACTGTAGCATGGTGCTTGGGACGGGTGCCTGGTACGGAGAGCGGTGCCCGACCTGGTGCGGGCGAGGCGGAGGAGGGGCTGTTGTGGTGGCGTGGGGGTATTCCGCAGTGGGCTGTCCTCCAGGTTGCGGGGCTGTCTGAGGGGAAGCCGTGGTCGGGCTCTCCCGACCCCAGTGGGGCAGTCGCTGCGTCAGGCGGCTCTGGTCGCCTGGAGTCCCTGTCAGGCTGCTCCCCCGCCCTGCCGTGCGGGGCTGCCGGGACCGGCGGTGGGGCCGCGGGAAAGACCCGGATCTCTTCTACCTCCCTTCAGCCTGGTGCCTTTGGCGTTGCTGCAGAGCTGCGGGGAGCTTCTGAAGCCCTGAGCTATCCCTGGGGACCAGTGTGCGGCGGGAATATAGATAAATGTGTGTGCACACATACTCTGGAAGCTGCAGGGAGAGGTACCGTACAAAGCTCCGTATCACACCCGCATACCGTAACACTAGCCCAAAGAGTGAGGCATTGCCAAATGCCTTACTTGGGAAGGGAGAGCTGATTAACAGAGCCACAAGCCGTTGTTGTTTTTACGAATTGCCCCTGCTTAAAATACGTTATGTTGAAGTATGTCATATATGATTTATTGCTCTGTATTCCCAGTCTTTTGTTTCTCTTAAAGCCCATGCACATAACCATGTTGAACAGTATTTGCAAGGCGTGATGCTGATAAACGTACTGGGAGCAACCCGACCGCTCTTGTGAAAATGTCATCGTTTCCAGCAGGGTATCAGGTGGAGAAAGGCACTGTGTCGGGAACTGTAGCTGTGTCTTCTCCCTTCACACTTGCTGTCACTGCTTCCGATATGAGTTTAACACCTGTTTCTTGCCAACTTTTATAGTCTGTGGTAGCTGGCTCATCAGAATCATGTATTTGCCTTCCTTGGACTCATCCCATGGCGTAGCATGTAGCATATATATGAAATGCACACTCTGAGCAGTATTCTTCTTAAGGCTTTTGTTAAGCTATTTGTTTTTTCAGAGCCTCTTCTATGTAGAGTAATTGGATCGAGTGTCTTACTCCCTAAAAATCCATAGGACAGCCAATGGAGAAAGGTGTTTTCAGTACGATAAATCTTAATCCAGTCTTGTTTGGAAGTGTAGCTCCTTATAGCTCTGTGTAATAACTATGCATTGCACGCAGGCTTTTAAGGATTAAAGGAAATTGCCTGCATTTGAGAAAACGTGACTGGTGTGCGGGTGAAATTATTTTGCTTGGGGAAAATTCTTTAATCAAATGTGTCATTCATTTAGTGACAAAGACTATTTGTCATTGGAGTTCCCTGCAGAGGTACTCGCATTTGTATTCATCTGTATTTTCATTAAAAACTTTTGTAATGAGATAATTTGACTTTTTAATACATCATGCTAAGCTCAGAGCTGGCATTCAACTTGTCAGCTAAGACAGAGGCACTTATTTTGAAAGTATTGGATATCGATAAGCAGTATATTTTGTATTAAGAAATATACTTGCTTGAAGGGTTATCTTTGACAATTGCTTGGAGATGGGAGGACTTTTCACTGGATAGATGTTGTTGTGAGCCTCAGTGTTGGGTGGCAAGCTTTGCAGCTGGATCTGACTCTGTTACCCTTCCAGTGATGGCATGTAGGTAAGTTCAGAATATCTTTAGACCTTAGTGACCCTGTGAATTGTCATTTACAATGTTTAATAAATATTTTCTGCATTCAGCTTCATAATAATAGTGGGACACAGATTTTTCATTGAAGGAGTTTTTTAACTTCTTCAGTGGCTAAAATTTTGAGCTTTGGCTTCAGAGCTTTGAAACACCAGCCCTGCTACAGCTGCCAAGAAAAACACTGCCTGCAGTATCTTAGGTTGAAATTATATGCATACGCTAGTGGAATAAATTGCTTGGGTCTCTCTTTATCAATGATACTTTGTGTTTTAAAAGTGATGCATGGTAACATACTGAGTATAAAGACTTGGTTGGGCATGTTAGGTGATTAGAGGAGTTTTCTGGCATTTTCAGGGCTGCCTTATCATGAAATAAAAATATAGTTGGCACCTGTAGGAAAACCGTCAGTTTTATATGTGGAGTAAATGTTGGGATATGTGAATTTCTTCAGCTTCTTTAAAATCCTTCTCTTTCCCTTGCCTAACAAAACAAATGCAAGGTGGGGAAGGAAGCAAGGGGAAAAAGGGACTTCAAGAAATGAGATGAAAGTCTGCAAGTTGTATTTTTGTTAAAAGGAGCACTGGATCTAGTCTTAATGAAGCACCAGTTCAAAGAACATGCATGAAAGAAGTATCAGAGTAGAGGGATTACTTTCACTTTTTTTCTTCCTTTTTTCCCCCTTCACCTACTTTCCCCTGAATAGATCAGCAATTTAATAGTGATGCAAACAGAGAGGAAAAATAATGGAAGGGGGGGATGTTGTTGACCCTCAGCTTGGATCTGCTTATTGATGAAAATAACTGGCCTTTAAAGTTGACCTTAAATTCTTAATTTTCTGAGGAATGAGCAGTGTTCGGTATGATGGAGCAGTTTAGACTTGTTGCAGTGGAGAAATATTTTAGGAATTATCACAGTCTGCATACCCCCCACTTCTGGATCATACAGCTCTCTTGTGAACAGCTGGGAGCAGTAGTACTCTGCTAACTAATTAAAAACCTAATCTATTCTTTACTCTTTACCACTCAGGGATAACATTAAACTATTTTGGATGATTACTGGGTTTAAGCTATGAATGTATTGCTCCTGTAGTACTGTTTACAAAATGTACAGTTTTATTTGAAAGAGTGTCCTTAAAACACAAATTGTATTTAGCTGTCACCCAGCTTCAGATGAAAGCTGTCTGGTTGCCAAATTAACAGTTTTGTTTCTGTATACTTATTGTAGCTATTAAGTCAATTATCGTGAGATGACTCAAGTCTTTCTTCTTATTTCTTAAGGGTTGGAGGGAATTTATTTTCTGTTGATTAATAACCAAGCCATCTTTTGTTCTCATTAAAAAAATTATATTACTATTGATTGTGGCTAGCTTCTCTATGATAACTGGTAAGTGGGTGAGAAATTTTTGTGGCTAGCATAGGTCTGCAAAAACTGAAAACCAAATATATTTCTTGAATTCAGAATTTCTCCCACAACATAAATTCATTAGAATACTCCTATTTATATTAGTAAATGTGAGTAAGTATGTTGTATGCTGAAGAGAAGGATAAGAAAGTGGCAGTACACGCAAGTTACAGTGTATTTGAGGCTACACATACCTCTGGCAGGAGGTTTGTTTTTTATCTGAGTGAGCAGTATTATCTGAGTGAGTTGTATTAAAACTGCAAAGTCCTCAAGGTAAAATAGAATCAGTGAATTTTATTATCACCACTGACAGTGGGTTGTGCTGTGGGTAGAAAAAGAGCTGTGTGATTTATTTTTGTTTCCTTTGGGTTTTTTTCTTGATTATTTGTTTTGTTTTCCTGCTGTAACTGCAGTTACAGAAGTGATTCCTACCAGTAGTTATCAGTCAAGGAATGCGTTTCTCCTCATTTCCAATGTAAAACCTGGAAGTAGACTAGTTTTCTAGAGACCTAACCCTTGCTACTGAGCTAGTAACAGCATTAATGGAGCTGGGAAAGATCACTTGAATAGTAGTACAAGTATGTTCATAAAATTTTTAATAAAATGTACAGCAAACTAAAAAGTAACCAATGGGGGTATTGAAAAGGTCAGACTTAACCTTGTTGATTGTAGTGGTCAGTTCTTGCTTTTGGCCACTCTTATTTCAGGGAGACATTGATTTGCCTTAGAAAATGTGCCAGCAGTGCTGTGAGGGTAAGAAAGTACTGTAAAAACAAAAGGACTAGTTCTGAAGGATAATTCTATGACGGGGGTACACTGCACAATAGCAGGGCACAGAGTATTTTGATATGATCACATCCAGGTGAATGTGGTCTTTTACTGCAGACTCTGAGTTTCAGTGCACTATAAACATGCTACTAGAGAATGAATTTTAAAAGGAGAGGGGAAAAAGTAAGTCTTATTAAAAATATTCTAAGGTAAAATGTATGATTCCTGGCCTGTTTGTATGTATTTAGTTACTGGGGTTATTTTGCTTTTGGTTGCTCCCAAAAGTGTTTTATCCTTCCTACTGTAGTCTGCTACTGTACTGAAATGAATTTAAGCAGGATTTTAGAAAAGCAATTTTGCATTTCTCCTTCACAGTTGGTTATTAATTATGAAGTCTGGAGTTGATTTAACTCCAAAGAGCTTAGGAACTTAATTTTTGAAGCTCACCTGTGTTAGTCTGGCATGCAGTATACTGTAGCATGCTTCATAATATGAAAAACTTTGCATAAGATTTAACAGTTAACAGAGAAAACTGCAATTCTGCTCACTCCCCCAGAGTGCTGCTTATTTTGTTACTTCACAGGGCTGAATTATGGCTTGGTAATGAGGGCTGGATTATAGCTTGGAAATGGCTGTTTTACTTCTTACATGAATTGTTGGCGAAGGTTTGTCACATTTGAGGTCAAGTGCTTGCCTGATCTATTGACCCACATCAAGAGTGGAAAACTACTGTTCTTATAACAGCTTTGTTTTCACTCTTGGCAGAAGGCATTAATGTCTCATCATATTTCAGTATTTGCTTTGGACAAGATAGAGGGAGTGTGTCAGGGTAAGTGCCAGCATTTTTTAGCTCTAATGATTAAAATAATTTTGCAACTTGTTGCATTAGAATAGTGGGCAATGTTTTTTTGTCTGGGTTTTTGGTTTTTTTGGTTGTGGGTTTTTTGTTCTGTTTTTTTTTTTTTTGTTTGTTTGTTTTCTTGTACCAAAACCTGAAAATTTTCTACTTAATCCTTCTGAGAAATCTAAGCATTTTAATTTAGGAATAGGCTGGTTTTGGAATGTGACGAATTTGAGCATTTGCAGGTATGACAGTGAGAGGAAAATGGGTGAATTCTGAACTATCTGAAAGCAACTAACATGATACAGAGAGAGTTCCCTGGAAATGATAGTAAATTTGTGTATTCAATTTTCGTGGCTGAGGAGATGTCTGGGAGGGTATGATACAGAACTGTAAATAAGAAGTTGAGCACTAAGGACTGAGATTATCAACACTAATGGAGTGATCCAGATGGTAGCATGAAAAGGCCCCTGATGCCTTTATCAGGGAATATAAATTTCATTAGAATAAATTTAAATTTGAGCATCAGGTACATAGGAGCAATGTACATGGACGTATAGTGCTTCTACACTGATATGCTTCACTGCCATAAATATACAGAGAAACACCAACTTAAAATCATGTACTTCTGTCATGTCCAAAAGTATGTGAATGTTCTTAACACTGGAATGAAACCACCTTGAGTATAATTAAAAGTTTAATTTGATACTTTTTTTTTCTTAATGCTCTTGCCATCCAAAATGGAAAGAGTATCTCTCTG